CGCCACGTCCCTGCGCGCGCCGCCGTCCTCGGCCGTGGGGTGCCGCAGCGCGCCCATGTCGAAGGCCTGCGTGTCCTCCTCGCCGCCGCCCTCGTCGTCGTAGTGGATCACGTTGTCCCTCACGTCCTCCTTGGAGGTCATCAGCGTGTCCTTCTTCTTCTGCCTCCGCAGGGCCACGTACAGCACCACGATGACTAGGAGACAAAAAACGGCAATTTGAGACCGTGGGCCGGGCTCTCAGACAAGCCGCCCGGGCTCCGCAGCGGCCTCCCAGCTCCGAGGGAAGCGCCCGGGTCAGTAAGCGTCAGTCTGGGGTTACCTTCCTTCCCGTTGCCTAAGCTCGACTTCGTTTTGAAACTGTAACAGGCAAGAAACCATAGCCAAGCTATTCGCGAAATCAAACAATGACTGCCTCGTATTTAACATGCGCTGCATTTAAATATTTTACTGTCTGGCAAAAAGTGTTTTACAAAGTGACAAAAAGAAAAACGTTGTTGTTCAAAGTATACGGAGATCTGTATAACACTGATATTGTAAAACTTGGTTATTGTAGCCTGTAAGCAATATTTAAATGTTACTCACACCTAGATGTGCCCATTGTAATGCTAATGTGTTTCTAATGAAATAGACACAAATCCTCATATGAGAATCATTGTTAAAAGCAATAAATAAGCGAGAGAGAAAGAGAAGAAAGAATATATAATATAAGGGCCTTACTTTTATAAAGCATATCAACTAAGAGCTCTAATTATTTAAATTCAGTGTCCTGCCATATTGAGACGTTTTCCAAACCAAATGCCTAGCGTTCATATTACCTTCATGAAGCATGACAATATTCTGAAATGGTTAGTTTATGTACTCTCATTATTGAATATCTCTTTGTTTCCAGTTGACTACAGCCATCATTAGATAGTGTTTATTTCTTCTACAGGTAAATAGGCACAGATTCGAGCCATGAAGTCAGCACTGAACTTCGCTGGTCATATAGCCCCTCTCCTCCACAGTGGTGGTAATCACTGAAAGACAAAGTGTGTTTGATTTGCAACAGCAGAGCCTGGAAGACTCTTGTCACAGGAACCATGGAAGCCCATTTATTCCCTTTTCCTCCAAAATTAGAGTTTGATGAATTGAAAAGATGGGGGAGATCAGGTAGAGCTCCTGTATAATAGGCGCATAGGCCTCGGAGAGATGTTTATCACTCAGCGCTCCTCCCAGGGTTTAGGCAAATTTCAGAAGTAAAGCGAGTATTTGCTGTTTGTTCACCCGGGGAGTATGTGCGAGGCTGCAAACCTCTCAGAGGTTTCCTGCATGTAAACTGGCTTCACAGTTGCCACAATTGAGAAGAAGAGTGAGATGTGCTTGAAGGCCGCGTAAAAGGCACAAGATTCTTGTGCTTCCCCTTGCCCTAGGATGGCTATGAAAATGGTTAAGAATAAGCTGGAAGATTTAAAGTCTGAGATTGCTTAAGGAGGTCAAACAACAGATGGACTTTTAAGCAGACCCCCCGGCAAGACTAAGACTGTCAACGTTCACGGCTGTATACTAGCAAGTGCACAGTGCTGGGCCGGTGCAGGTGCCCTGGGACACGGGAAGCATTTGGACGAGTAACTGGCAGATGGCAATGCGTGATGAGGCTGACCTGTGCATGGTTAATTGCCACACTGTAACAGTGCCAGTGGCCAGAGGCCAGCCTCCAGAACATGCCAAGTCATGCTAGGAAGAAAAACAAATACTCTATGACACAAAGAATTCTAAGAGAAAAGAGGAGCATGAGAGAGGGGTGGTTGAGTTGAAGTTAAACACCCAACTGATCATGTTCAATTTCAGATATGAAGACATTATTTGAATCATCCCTTTTAAGGTTTATATCTTTATCATAAACAGATGCCAGATACAATTTACTGTAAGTTATAATGATATAAAAAATACCTTGTTCTACGTGCCAAGGGCACGTGTGTGGAATCAATATCTACAGCATGCAAACTGGACTAGAACGTTCCCTCCAAGCCAACGTGGGGTCATGACTGGAAAATGTTCTTCACGAGCTATTGTATAATGCCTTACTCCATGCTTTTCACCAGAGTATTTTTAAAAAAATTCTCACCCAAGGATATTTTTTCCATTGCTTCCCAGAGAGAAAGGAGGGGGAGAGAGAGAGAAACAGCGATGTGAGAGACACAACAATTGGTTGCCTCCTGAACACACTCCGAGCGGGCCGAGCCTATCACTGAGGTACGTGCCCTTGGCCAGAATGGAACCAGGGACCCTGCAGTCCACGGGCTGACACGCTAACCACTGAGGAAACCCGGCTAGGGCAGCCCTAGTATTGTTTTAAGTTTTGTTTTCTATCCTAGAAATACAGGGAGGTATCTACATTTGTCAGGAATTTTTGTGGTTAAATAAGAAGCATCCATATATAAACTGATTCCACAGAGTCCAACTGTGTTATCTGTTACCATTTTCATTTTAAAAATGACGAAAAAAAAGAAAAATCTCTATTTTTGCCATCTTGGCAATGAATTAGTAAGGGAAATGGAGTTAGCTGAAGAGTTGATGGAAGAGGGAAACCCCTAAGTAGGTTTATGCTTATGCTCACAGAGATGTTACAGAATTCATTTATTTCAGTCCATTTCATTTGGGGTGCTTCTAGATATTTCAGTGTGATCTCTTCTATTCCTGTGGAAGTGGTTAGAATTTTGATGAGAAGATGTGAGAAAAGTGGAATAAGAATTGCTTCTGGCTGGCAGTTTAAACAGAAAAGAAAATTAAAGGTTCCCTTACTTTCTATGTCTTTCTTTTCCTTTCTCTTTTCTTTATTTATTAAACTGGTGTTGAAGAACTACTGCTCATCGCTGTGTTTTTTAATGGTTATATAATATCTTAAGGACTAATAATTACTAGGATGTAAAACAAGTGGAGAAAGCATTGTTGTAAATAGAATATTTGTTATAGAAAATTTCATTGCGGCAGGTTCCACAAACTATTATTTGGAAATCCCCTAAGGCTTGAATGCGCTTTTGTATTTTTGATGATGTTATTTATGCCTAATGCTATATATCCATAGAAAAGTATGAAATAGAAAAACAACTTTAATAAAAATGTAATTCAATGTAAATAGATAATCTTCCTTCTAAGCAAATATGGCATCTCAGTGAAGAAACACGGATTTACATTGTAAATTAAGGACATACAGGAGAGACAGAGAGAGAGAGAGAGAGAGAGAGAGAGAGAGAGAGAAAGAGAG